AGGTCCCTTCCAACCCAAAGCATTCTATGATTCTATAAATTGAGAGGCAAAGAGTTTTCTTTTTATTGTTCGAACTCCTGAATATTTGTGTGATTAGGACTTAAGTTTGCAATTAATATTGCTACTTACATAAAATCAGATCTTTTCTTTCTCTGCTGGGACAGACTAGATCTGAATTTGTGGACAAATTGCAAATCCACTTTTCACTCATTCCCTCTGGTTTCAATAAACAGATTAAAATAAGTTACCACCTGTGACATTGAATTGCTGGATAATGGGTAAAGCTAACTCTTAGCTCAGTGTGGGATGAGGAACCTGTTCATTCAGTTGCCAGGGTTAAAACTACTTAGCTGGAAAATGGCAAAAATACTTTTTTCTGTTTGATGTGCATAGTTTGAAATTTCCTGGCCAACTTTAACAAAGTTTACATCTGCAACTATATGAATTGCTGAGTGTGTTATGGTGCTCTTGATAATGGATCAAGTGTGCTGAGTATTTACTGAGTGAATATTCTGCTTCAGGTAGAAGGCACAATTACATTTAAGATGCACTGAATTTGCCGAGTGTTGCATGTGTATACTTCTCTGTGTGTGTGAATGTGTCAGGCATAAACTTGTATGCCATTAGTGATTGTATTTAAAAATGCTGGAGTGTTCTGAACTAAACACTTTTTTTTTCTTTTGGTATATAGATGTGGTCCGCTGATTGATCTCTGCAGGGGTCCACATGTGAGACACACTGGAAAAATCAAGGCCCTTAAAATAATTAAGGTAAGTTTAAATTAACTATGCATCAAAACTTAACTAAACAATGGGTCAGTTGATTTATTTATGTATTTATTTATTCTGAAGTGATTATGCTACGGTCCTTTGTATTGTTTTCTTTGCTTACTCTGAAAATAGTCCTTCATTTCTTTCCCAGCTCCCATTGTACAAGTAGAACTACAGACTTTCATAATTCATCTGCTTCCAAGATTTACTGATTTTTGACCATCACAATAGTACATCAGTGAAAGTTAGCAGCATCTTTTTTTATCAGAGTATTAGTGCAGTAACATGCATGCTTAAACTATAATGAAGAGCACTGCAAAAATAAGCTAGTAGTGACTAGATTAGCTGTGGAACTAATTATACCATGCACAGGAGAGAAGTGCAGTGCCTAAGCTAACATTGCAGTACTGTGCTAGTATCTCCAACCAGCACTGCACTTTGTAGTACAAATGTCCTAGTTTGAGTCTGTACTAGCTGTCACATCTGTGTGTGGTGTGTGTGCATGCACTTTGTTCTGCAGTAAGTGAACATCCAAGATATTCATCAGGTCAGAAAATAGTATTTTGACCTTGTAAGATGGTATTTTTCAGGTACAGGAGGTAAAGTGGACCCTGGCAGATGTGCAAGTGCTGCTGTTCAAAAATGGCATTGCTCACAGGAAAGCCAGAGACAGTGTTTGCAGATGCCTCTGGTTATGATGTAGTTAAAGTTAGGTGATAATTTTGGTAACCTTATTAGACTGACCTGATTGGAACATTCATCATAGTTGCATTTGCTGGCTTCCTAACTGAAGTTTATGGAACTCTGAGTTCAGGGCTTGTTAGATTGTCAGAACAGCTAGGATTTAACTGTAGGAGTGAGTTAGTTTCGTTTTGTCTTTCGTGTTTCCCTACTGCATTATGTTTTGAACATAAACAAGTGCTGCTTTTTTAGAAGGTATAATGTGAGATACTAAAACATGCCATGATGTGAGTTAAAAGAAGGTACCTATGTAGAATAAAAGTATAACCTGACCATTTCATTTGTCTTCTGTATTAGTATGCTGACTAAAAGGCAGTGCAAGTATATTTGTATTATAAACAAATGCTGGATGACTGCATATCGTTCTGTTCCCAAGGAAGAAACTCATAACATTTGAATGCATTAGTGTTTATTTCTAATTTCCCTGAGATTATGTAATATTACCTTAAAGTATGGGTTTTGTGCATCAGAATTCCTCTACGTATTGGGAAGGAAAATCTGACATGGAAACTCTGCAGAGAATATATGGAATATCCTTTCCTGATAACAAAATGATGAAGGAATGGGAGAAATTCCAGGAAGAAGCCAGAAACCGGGACCACAGGAAAATTGGAAAGGTACACTATTTCCTGGTCTACTTCTCTTTCACACTTCTGTAATAAAATTCATTCTCTTCCATTGCTTTTTTTTAATTCTGATAAAGAATGACTGGCTCACAAGTTTCAGCCATCAACCCTGAGATCTGATGGGTATATGCTTAATTGCTTTGGTTACTAAAGGTAAGATTGGTTAAGGCTTCAGGATTTTGAGGAAATGTGTATTTCCATAGTTACAGAGTCAAATGGAATTCCAGTGTTATTACAAACTTTTAAGAGTAAGAACTACAGATAAATCAACTACCTTTGCTGAGAACTTGTGGACTTCTGGAAGTCATCTTCTTGCTGTAATACTTCGTTTTTGTGAACAGTCTCAACATGTGTGAAGTAAAGTTCTGCAGTGGTGTTAGAGCATTCTGTTTTTAATTTACCTAGGAGCAAGAACTCTTCTTCTTTCATGATTTGAGTCCTGGAAGCTGCTTTTTCCTCCCCAGAGGTGCCTGTCTTTATAACACACTCGTGGATTTCATACGAGTGAGTATATACTAACGTAACTCCTAACAAGTTTAATATCAGTTGTTGATCTTAAGCGATAGGCCATTCATAGTGCTGAGCTATCCACAGAAAGAGAAACATCTACGTATGTAAACGTATACCAGATTTTCACTATGATTATACAGATCTAACCTTTTTGAAAATAGGGCAGAGTAGGCCATTGAGCTGTGCTTTTTCCAGTTGTGCAAAACCTGCATGTGCAGTAGTCCTTTAGTCTCCCAATAAATGGCCGTCAAAAGAACACAGTTAAAAAGAATCAGGCTTTTGCTTGTCAAGAGCTCTATCACCTTTAAAATGTTGCATTTGTTTTATAGGAGGAGTATCACAAGCGTGGTTTTACCGAAGTTGTATCTCCAAATATCTTCAACAGTAAACTCTGGGAAGCTTCAGGGCACTGGCAGCACTACAGTGAAAACATGTTCTCTTTTGAGATCGAGAAGGAAACTTTTGCCCTTAAACCGATGAATTGTCCAGGACATTGGTTTGTACTCTCAACCGCAAAACTTCTTACTTGACTGTATTGATCCTTTGTGGGGCTGAGGGGAAACAAATGGAGTATTAATACATGTTATCATGTATGTTCACAATAGACTACTAAGCAACTAGGGCATCCAGAGCGCTCCCGACTGTGTCCCAAAGCAGACCAAACAAATTTCTTGTAGCAGGATCTTTCAGTAAGTCTGCACTAAGTGAGCTAGGTTTGTGCATGCTAATATTAGTCTGTACCACTAGTAAATACAAATTATGTTAGATAAAGATAAGCATCAGATGTGGTGTACCAAAAGAAGGTACAGATGAACCCGTATTGATTGTTACTCTCACAATGTCTTTTCTAGGTGGTCTTTAGAAATACGTTCCCAGTGCTGCACTGCTTCTGTTTGCCTGCCTTTTAGGATGCAGACAGCCTGAATGAATAAATACTTAAAAATGTGATTACTGTCTGCACTGATCTTGTTTTAGTTTGTGTTGTCTTAAATCTTATATAAGAAGGATAAAAGGAAGGTTCTCCCATGTTCCCTTTAGCTTGATGTTTGCCCATCGTCCACGATCCTGGAGGGAAATGCCCCTTAGACTTGCAGACTTCGGAGTTCTTCACCGAAATGAACTTTCTGGGACTTTAAGTGGCTTGACTCGTGTAAGGCGCTTCCAACAAGACGATGCTCACATATTTTGCACAATAGAACAGGTAAAAAAAACAAACTGAAAAATCCAACAACAGCCCTCCCCCCACCAGTCAACAACAACAAAAACCCAAACCCTTCCCCTCCCAGTACAAACCAACATTAAACAAGAAAAATTCCCCAAAGTATTTCGACTTTAGCTTCTTCTAGTGTGTTGCTTTGTAGCATAATGCTGCTTTTGATGGGTTTTTTGATAGGTTTAGGTGCTTCCTTCTTAGTCATCTGTTACTCCGTAGCTTTTCTGTTACAGGTTTCTCAAATAGCAGTGCCATGTAATTTGTGTTACGTATTTTTCTCTTTGAAATTAAAAAATGTTTATACTAAAAGAAGAAAACAATGTTATTTGAGGGACATTGTTCATTATGAATTACATAATAAGATTTTCTGTATAGAACTTTTCCCTTTAGAAAGATACATTGGGCAACTAAATCCCAAAAGGTAAAATCTTTTGCATCTCCCATCTCTCCCTGCAAAGAAAAAAGTTATTGACCGCATTTTGTTTTCCGTAGTAATGCTGAATAAATACTTTATTTTGTCAGTAATGTCATAGATTTTAGTGGAGCTATGTGAATAAATTGATACTCTTGTCAAGTCTGACATGTGCAATTTGGCCCTAGAAGCCCAGGCTTAACAAGAACATTACTTTTCATGCCATGCTATGAAGCCGCACCACCTCAGTTCTCTCTTCACCCATTACCTAGATTTGGGTTTGTAGGATGTAATTTTCATGTGATTTTCAATTTTTTTTTTTCTTTAATGGACTCTCATATTCTGATTATGAGTAATTCAGTAAATCCAATTAAATTTTTATGTAAGTAAAATTTAACTAATATATCTTGTTTACATTTAAGATTGAAGAAGAAATTAAGGGCTGTCTTGATTTCTTGAAGTCAGTTTATGCTGTCTTTGGTTTTACCTTTCAACTACATCTTTCTACAAGACCAGAAAATTATCTAGGAGAGTTAGAGATCTGGGATCATGCAGAAAAGGTAATTCATTTAAAAGCAAGCAAACAAACAAAAACCCTTAATATTTGTATTTGCAGAGGTGGATATTTAACTAAGTTCTTTCATGTTGAATAGCGAAATTAGTGAAATTGCTTAAATCAGATGCTAAATATTGTCCTTAGTGGAAATGCTTGTTGAAAAACATCACATTAAATGTGAGGTTTCTGTATAAAATGAGAACTTTCTGATTCTTATTTAGCCCCTTATCTTGAACTGATTTGATTTTTATTATTTTTTTTTCCCAATTACTCACAATATTTGTATGAGGAACTACTCTTATTTCAAGATGATTTATCATAAATGACTAAATGCTTGAACAATAGGAATCGTGCTGCTGTTGCTGCTTTTTTTCTTTTTTTTTTTTTTTTTTTTTTTTTAGAATCATAGAATGCTTTGGGTTGGAAGGGACCTTTAGAGGTCATCTAGCCCAACCCCCCTGCAGTGAGCAGGGACAGCTTTAACCAGATCAGGTTGCTCAGAGCCCCATCCAACCTGACCTGGAATGTTTCTAGGGATGGGGCCTCTACCACCTCTCTGGGCAACCTGTTCCAGTGCTTGACCACCCTCACTGTAAAAAATGTCTTTCTTATGTCTAGTCTAAACCTATTCTTCTTTAGTTTAAATCTATTATTCCTTGTCCTTGTACTTCAAAGGCAAACGCTTTGACTTACGGTAATGAAAGGCCCTGCTATACCTTTTTAAATTATTCTCTCATTTTTGTGATTAGCAACTTCAAAACAGCTTGATTAGCTTTGGAGAGCAATGGAATTTGAATCCAGGAGATGGAGCATTTTATGGTCCTAAGGTTAGTGAATCAGCATTTTAATACGACTTTGAGATGGACAAGAATACAGACACAATGCAAGCAAACTATATTTAGTAACAGTGTTATTTTGCTTCACAGATTGATATTAAAATCAAAGATGCTATTGGGAGGTACCATCAATGTGCTACTATCCAACTTGACTTCCAACTACCCATTCGATTTAATCTTACTTATGTTGGGTGAGTGGTTAAGCTAAGTATCTTCCTCTTTTAAATAAAATAATGAAAAAAAAAAATTGCTTACTTTCAATATGTGTAATTCCCATTAAACTGAGATGTATTAATGCTCTGTTGCTCACTTAACAAATTATTAGCCTTTGTATCAGTAGCCTGGTTAAGAGGGGAAACGTTCCCAGTGAGGAGAGGACAGTACTGATGGCAGGCAAATTTCATGATCTCTGTCTGCCAGTTCTGAAGACAACTGATCATATGTAATGCTAAAGAAAACTCAGCTGAGTCAGTTCTCACTTTCAGCCTAGTCACTGTGTCTCCTTTGAAGACATTGCATACAAATTCAAACATGCCTTAAGGGGCTAGTGTGTTTGTAATGAGTACTTCATTCTTTTTATCAGATATAGTTAGTTAACTCTGAACGTAAACCAAATGTGAACAGTTTTTAATGAAAATCTCACTTTGGCTTCCAGCTAGGAAGAGGGATATTTAACCATTGAGTGAATTAATCTTAGTACCATGTTGACTTGAACACACCTTTCCTGGGTTGTTTGTCTTGCTGTGTTTGTTTTTGCATATTATAAAGAGTTTGGTGGGGAAGATACAAGAATGTTTGGGGTTTTTTTTGGTCCTGCTCCATGTTCTACAGTAGATGTCATAGCTCTTCGGTAGGTGGTAATACCGTTACGAACAGCAGCTGGCTGCTTTTTTAATCACAGGATTGTAACTTAAGGCAAGAAATTAACAGTAAGGGCAGGTGAGATTCTGTGCAACAAAATAAAAGCAAGACGTAGTGGAAAAGAAAGAGCAAGGAAGAACGTAAAATATTAAAATGCACAGAAATGGAGTTAGTCAGTTGAGTGTCTTTTCAAACTTCGGAGTTTGTGCCTATGCCACTAGCTGCAGGCATGATTATTTTAAGTCACTATGATTATTCAGTATTCCTTTAAAAGCCCTGGTGACTTAAAGTACGTTATTAAAAAAACCCAGGAGATTTTGCCTAAATATAAATAATTAAATTTTTGTCTTTCCATGAAAAGTAGAATCAAAAATACTAGTAGGATTATCTGTGTGTGAGCTAAGAGAATGGTGGGGGTTTTTTTTGAACTTTACTTATTCTTTTTCAGTAAGGATGGCGATGATAAGAAAAGGCCAGTGATTATTCACAGAGCTATTTTGGGATCTGTGGAGAGAATGATAGCTATTCTAGCTGAAAATTATGGAGGAAAATGGTATGTGGCACCAGTGAAATTCTAAGAAATGTTTAACAACATAGAAAGTACAGATCCTCCTTAATGTCCCATGTATTGTGATGCAAAATAGTATCCCTAGAATTTTTGCAAAATCAGTTGGTAAGATTACAAGAAAAGAAGTCTAATTTTATGGTCTGAGTTGTATGATATCCTTTTATTAATAGTTCATTATTAGAAATTCAATTTCATGAGATTGCAGGAAAAATTATACAATAAAACAGAAATAAGAATTGGAACTGAATGTATATATGCTGCACTATTCTTGTTCATTTTTTCTTAAAAATCATGCTTTTGTACTGGGGAAATGTTAGACCTATGTAAAGCAATTATTTATACAGACATGAATTAGTCCTAATATGTGAAATATAATTTTAACTTGTAAGATGTATTATTTCATCTTGAATAAGCTCTGAAGATATTTCTTCATTAATGTATTTAAAGTATTAAGGAAGAATTAATTCTTACTTTCAGCCACCTATCTGTCTGACTGTCCACCTTTCACTATAAAGTTATACATAAAAGCGGAAATTATGAGGAAAAAATAAAATTGTGAAGTCAGCTAGGAAGTGAACAGAAGATCAAAGTTCTGCGTATGTCATTTTACTGGAATCAATATATTTGCTGTTTTTTGTGAACTTGAAAAGATGAAGATAACATATTATCCAACATCCTTAGCTAACATAAATATTTTTATAAAGTAAAGAAGTTGTTATTGGGGAACATGACTATGGATATGAATGCAAATGTAAAATGCACATTTACTTTGTATTTTTCTTGTCCTGCTTGCCAGGCCATTCTGGCTCTCTCCACGGCAGGTCATGGTTGTGCCTGTGGGACCTACTTCTGAAGAGTATGCCCAGCAGGTGAGAGTAGGGCCTTCCTTTTTATAGTAGCAAGCAATTTTAATAGCTCCTTAAGTACTTGTCATAGAACAAAGAATGAATGCTTTAATAATTTTGGTGACATAGCGGGGGGTGGGGTGGTAAACTTTTCCATATAGTCTAAAATTTGTATATGCCTGAATCTAAGTGTTTTGGGTTCTGTTGTTATGTACATACTTCAGTAATTATTAAAGGAAAAAACATTCTGGATGACAAACCTTATATGCTAACGTTTCATTACAGAACTATCCCCTTAAAGTAGGGGCAGAGCCAGTTTCTTTCATTTCCCAGCATGTATACTTTTGACTACATTACATTTGACCACAGTTGTTTTTACCTCTCTCCCCTGCTTTTCTTTTAATGCAAGTGTAAGTGGGTTTGTTCCTTCTCCTCTTTCTCCTTTCTCAGACTGAGGAAACATTCTTGACATTCAGCACTGTAGCTGTCTGAGGAGATCAGCAAATATTTGATATGGATTTTACCTTGTATTGTCTTCCAGCTGGACTCCTGCTAAGCCCTTAAGTGTGTATGCAGTTTTCTTCAAATAACTTCATTGAATTCCTTACAACAATTCACAAGAGCAAAATTATGCACAGACATGAATTAATTATTGGATGAGATCAGGGATTACAGCATGCACAAATTTGTGTTGTAGAATATATACTGTAATATTAAGTGAGAGTTTTGGGATTTTTTTTTTAGGTTTGCAGCGAATTTTTTGAAGCAGGATTTATGTCAGATGTGGATCTAGATCAAAGTTGCACATTAAACAAGAAAATTAGAAATGCACAGCTGGCCCAGTATAACTTTATCTTAGGTAATTGCAACATCTTACACTTCTGAATATCACTTAAACTCTATGCCCAATGTTAAAACTTAGCTAGACTCATTTTGTAATGTCAGTAGTCAGTTTAATATTGTTTGTGATATGTCTTGCAGTGGTCGGAGAAAAGGAGAAGGCAAATAATGCTGTCAACGTGCGAACAAGAGACAACAAAATTCATGGAGAGATTTCAGTATCTTCTGCTATTGAAAAACTCAAGAAATTTAAGAGTTTGCATATTCCAAATGCAGAAGAAGAGTTCTGATGTTGCTGTTAGGAAAAAAAACTATTAGCCGCCCATGTGAATCGGTGTTTCTTTCCTCCTGTATGGCAGTAATGCTCGTCTGGGAGGATTTTCAGTTAAGGGATACACAAAATAAGCAAATGTAGCAATGTTGGTGCTCCAGAAATAGCATGAGAGGACAGATGCAACTGATAGTCCCATGGGATTCCAATCTGTGTGAGTCGCAGAATGCTTATTTAAAAGGTCCTAACCTCTGCTAAAATATGTTGGGTTTGCTGTGGAAAATAAATCAAGGTTGCACAAAGTCAAGGAACAGAGGCTGGGAAGTGTACTGCTGCTGCGATTGCTGAGCTGCCTCAGTCACGTAGCAGTTGCATGACTGATGTGACCTCGAATCCAAAGCTTGGCAGTTGGTGGGTGCATCAGGAGCATTTTGGTTTAGTTTTTTTCTAGCTCCAGATTATGTAACGATTTGGGGGGGGGGCGGGGGGAATAGGTTGATTCTTTCTGAATTTATGTTCACAGCCTACAAATACATTGATGTCTTTGTTGGAAATCTCAGTGAGACGAGGCACTGATTGAGTTGGTGTGATAAGTGGTTGCTGTAAAGGTGATTGCCAAGAATGAAGTTGAATTACTCGCCATATCTGTGTGTGGAAAGTTTTTTTTTTTCCTGTGTTTGCTGTTGATTCAGCTTTTTTCTAAAACCTTTGAAAAAACTTTCTAATTTATTGCTGTATTTGCTTGGGATACTGATAACACTGAAAAGGTGCGGATGACAATTTTCATTTGAAAATGTAGCATGTTGGAATTTAAATTGGCCATATTTATCTGACTTGTCTATGCTTATAAATGATTTTAAAGTTACCGTTGCTGGCAATTGAATCAGATCTTTTGGAGAGATTAATTTTTACCATGATTTTTTTTTTTTTTTTCCACTTTTATATGCTGTTGTGGTGAGTTGACCTTGGCTGGATGCCAGGGGCCAGCAAGCTGCTCTATCACTCCCCTCCTCAGCAGGACAGGTGGGGAGAAAAATGAGATGGGAAAAAAAAAAACCCCTCGTGGGTCAAGATAAAGGCAATTTAACAAAAAAGCAAAAGCTGCACGCAGAAACAAAAAAAGAAAACAAAGGTTGTATTCTCTGCTTCCCATCAGCATGCACTGTCCAGCCACTGCCCAGGAAGCAGGGCTTCCGTACGTGGAGCGGTTGCTCTGGAAGACATAAATAATGAATGTCCCTATGCCTCCTCCTTTCTCTTAGCTTTTATTGCTGAGCCAATGTCATAAGGTGTGGAATATCCCTTTGGTGACTTTGGGTCAGCTGTCCTGGCTGTGTCCCCTCCCAAGATCTTGCCCAGCCCCAGCCCACTGGTGAGGGGGGACATGTTGGAGAGGCAGCCTTCCTGCTGTGCCAGCACTGCCCAGCAGCAGCCAAAACACCGAAGGGGTGTTACCAACACCCTTCTAGCTACCAGCACACAGCACAGCACTGGGGGCTGCTGCAGGGAAGGTGAACTCCATCAGAGCAGACCCAGTACAGCTGGGTTTTAGTTACAAGGCTTAGATAGTGTTCAATGTTACTCAGTTATCTAAGCTAACTGGAGTTGTTGTGATTTAAATACCACTGAAATGAAACAGAAAATACAATTTAGTGCATAAATGCTATACAAAGACAGTGTTCTCCTTCCACCTGGCGCTTGTACAGACTTGTACTCAGTAGGCCTAGTTTTGGTTTTGTATTAGTTTGGTTTTGTGTATCTGTTTTTACCAGCTGATTATCCCCTGCTTTTAAAAGAAAAGGAAAAAAAAATTGAAGGAACAAGTGCTGGGGAAGCTTTCTGTTCCACTTTACAGAACTAACATGGGGTGCAGAGGGTGGCTTTTATGTATATTATTTATATATTTTATA